TGAGAGTGATTTGATATCTCGGCGTGGCTGTGGCAATATAGTTTGTAAAACAACTAGCGATAGAAAAGATTCCAGGCACATATGTCTTCATTCTTACCTAATTGCATTACCCTAAAGTTTTACTACTATTTACTAGGTATTTCATTTTTGTAGGAGAATGATTTATATCGGTGCTATCTTACGCATCACACTTCTTTGTTAATAGGACCGACGAGGAAACAAAATGGAGGAATATATGAATTCATGCTTTTTCGAATGACCATTCGTACAAAAAATAGTCTTTGCCAAAATTTGAACTCGATTAGCCGACACCATTTTTACAAGACTTTGCACTTTTCGACTTACGAGACTTTGCAATTTTCTAGTTATCTAAACGAATATATATTTGTCGTTTCAGAACATGACTCTCCACAGCTTCCTATCCCTTGTAGCTCTAAGCAACATTTGACTCTTTACTACCCTTCTTTGTTCCTTTAAACAAGTTCGTTATTTACGTTACTCGATGCTTCCCTCTGTCCACCTTCTCGTCAGTTTGTCCTGTGAGTTTCAAATTCTTCAAGCCGTCTTTCCTCATTATTTATCTGCCAAATTTCAGCTTTTTGATTTTAAGTAAAAGTGTCTTTACATGGTGTAAGGCTCTATGACTATATATTGGACTAAGCTTATCTCGCATGCTGTTGCTAATGTATGTGACCTAGTACCAGAAGAAGATAAGCTTCTAAGCTTTCAAGAAAATATATCTACATTCAGAAATTATGATAGATACCTGTTATAGAGACACATTCAAATACGATTGCTAGTTAGTACGAGCCTTGCTATGTGCATCTGTATGCCTCTTTACAAGATCAAATAAATCAAAACAAGCTTTTTATTTACTCCACTTAATCGGTACTGACCAGGTTTTTATCTTTCCGAAAAATCTACGCGGCATATTATCAAAAATGTTGATGGATTTTTAGGATTAACACTGAGAACAGATTTTATTATAGATTTTCATCCAATAAATTTTGTTTTGCTTAAAAATTATTGTCGTGATTTTGTGGTTAGATGGCATTAGGCATCTTTAGTTTTTAACCAATTTCCCCCACAAAGACATTTAAAGAATTATATTGTGACAAATATTTTTTACAAATTTTTACATTTTAAGGACTTTTATCAAAATTGGTGCATTTTCTTTATCAAGTCTAACAATAAAGAAAATGCACCAATAAACTTGCGTTTTCGACATATGCTTTTATCTTAAAAATAAATGCTAAAAATGCGACTGAAATGTAAATAAAAGATTAATGCAGTTTATGGAAAAGTTGTAATGAACAATCAAAATGTCAAAACTGGTTTACAAGGTTTTATATTTTCTTACTTTTTATCGACAAAAAATGCAATTAATTAAGATAATATTAAATCTGAATGACGATAGGCCACTGGTGTCTTTCAAAATTTGCTACGGTTTCACAGGAAAACTTGTCATTCGCTGTTTTCAACGAACGTTTACTTTCAGATTACCGTTTATTCTTGTTTTTATAGAATCCATTTCAAGAAATGGTTTAGATCTCCTAAAAGACTTCAAAAGACACTTCGAGTATTCCTTCGCTGAGGAAGATCATGTTCTATAAGGATAAAATTAGAAAGTTGCTTGAAAGATGACCGAAGATAATGAAAGAAAACGGTAAAGACATGGTTCAATGTCACACATATTCTAGGGTAAGTCAGCTTATAGATTTTCTGAACTAATTTTTGGACGCGGTGTTCATTAATGAAATTTCATTTTAACTAGTTAATTCCATATTTTGCTGTACAGAACTGCATAACTTGAGCATATTTTCCGTATATTCAAATTGATTCTGAATACCTGTAGCAAAAATAGAAACAAAAACACATTAATGTTACTGAAATTCCTCATTGCTCAAACACCTGGTTTTTATATTATATTATAGGAATACATGATGATAATGACAGTGTAATTGTATTGTTTTATGTTATGAATGGAAACAATATAAAACCCTTTGGCATAATGTGAAAGGTAAAATTTCATGACATAATTCCTGGTGAAAATTCATGCCATGATTACCAGTTGGTCTCAAAATTCGAATTTCATTACTTATTGTGTCATATTTTCTTCCTATTTCAGAAGGTGCTTTTGATTTCACACTAAGATTAGGTTTAAGTTTCAAATAAGCATTTAGTTTTACATCGCATTTACAGTGACCCCACACAATCATGACCACTTCTTTACATAGGGCATGCTATACTGAAGCAGAGAAATTAAAGGTAATGGTATCAAATGGATGTTACCTTTTGGATTCAGCATAAAATATAGTTAAACATTAGTCAGAAAATCCCATTCATTCTTTAAAAAATAATTTTGCAGGCCTGTATAGTCGATAATAAAAAAATAACTTTTTTATTGAATAAACTGTATATCTCAAATAAACTAAAACATGTTGATTCTATCTTTATTAACTTATTAAAAATGTTCCCATCTTGCTCGTGTACATTTTCTGTCTGTACTTTGCCTGTAAAATGTCATCAGTTAAGCCGAAAATGCAAGTTATAAAACGCCGGGTTGTGTTAATTTTTCTCTGTGAGTCCGTTAGGTAATATGTTGGTGTCGTGACTCTTGGTTTCTCGGATGTTATAAAGTATGGAGACTGTAACGGCGTTTTAAAATGATCTCTCTCTCTCTCTCTTAGGTTAGTACTTTGGTTAACGTGTGGTTTACACAAATTATTGAACGTGAGTCAGATTCGCACAAGGACGCAACCTTTAATCTACAGAAAATCTTTTTTATTCTTTTACATTCGTGTTATATAGCATATTAACACGCCCTTTCATCTGACTGTCTAAGACAAATATGGTCGTAGTGGCAGTGACTAAATATATCATTCTGCTGGACAGGCAGGGGTAGTTGCCGTTCTAATACTGACGATTTGGCTTTCACAATCTACGCCGTTTTACTGATGGTGTACATTCGCCGAGGTGACAACGAAGACCAAAAACTTTTTTGACTCTTAGGGTTGAAAAGAGGTCAAGGGTTTGGTGAGATAGAAAAAGAGTTAGAGGTGATTGATTAATGTAGGAGAAGAGATAATCTGATTAAGTAGAAAAAAACAAACTTACCCAATGTATATATACACTTTCTGAATAGACACATGAAAAATAAAATTCTTAGAGGATTGGGCACTCACGGCAGGAAATCCGAACCCCAGCCTCCAGCGTTAAAGGTGAAGATATTTACCATTAGAACAGCAAGGAATTGACCGCTTGAAGCCCACTTGTGATTGATGGCATTCATGAGGAATGAAAAGAAAGAAACAAAGAAATTTGAAGAAGCAGATGGAAGCGGAGTGAAAGAAAGGCGCTAAAAAATCGAATCGAAGAAAAAGAAAAAAAAAGAATGACAACAAAAGAAATAAATGCCGTATAGGAAGAAAGGCGAGAAAGAAAGAAAGAAAGAAAGAAAGAAAGAAAGAAAGAAAGAAAGAAAGAAAGAAAGAAAGAAAGAAAGAAATTTGGACAAGTAGATGGAAGCGGAGTGGAAAGAAAGGTGCCAACATATCGAATCGAAGAAAAAAAAAGAATGAAAAAAAATAAAGGCCGTAAAGAAAGAAAGAAAGAAAGAAAGAAAGAAAGAAAGAAAGAAATCTGAACAAGTAGATGGAAGCGGAGTGGAAAGAAAGGTGCCAACATATCGAATCGAAGAAAAAAAAAAGAATGAAAAAAAATAAAGGCCGTAAAGAAAGAAAGAAAGACAGAAAGAAAGAAAGAAAAAAGAAAGAAAGAAAGAAAAAAGAAAGAAAGAAAAAAGAAAGAAAGAAGGAAACGAACAAATCGAATTCAATCAAAAAAATTCAGAAAGTAAATGTATAACGTGGGGGTAGATGACCTTATAAAATCAAAACTAATAAACAAAAAACAAAAAAGAAAACAAGAAAAAGCAACCTCACTATCACACTCAGAGAAGAAATAAGTCACACATATTTCATCTTTTATTTTGTTTATAACTTGTTAGTTAATGTACCAATAATAATAAAGAACACAAGTGATAAGTACCAAATGTTATAAATGAATATTTAGTATGACCAACTTTAGCAAGCTTCAATTGTTCAATCCTAGTTATCATTAAATTTAATAACTTCTCGGCCTTTCGGCTTGAAGCATTGAACCTCAGTTCTAGTTGGCCGACCCCTCAGGCAGTATCCCAGGGAAAGGCTAGCATGAATCCCTGGCGCCTGAGGCCTAACAAAAAGGGGAAATACAGAGAGGGCTGGATTATTTTTAGTTTCTGTTATTATACATGACTTAGATTCCCACTTTAAATTCGACCTTGTGATACATTCCGTTGCGGTAGGCATTCAGTTAAATTTTACCATGGACAGAGCATGTGGGAAACGAAGTTTTAAGAATACAAACTACAAAGAAACTAATGCTAACGGTCAGAGAGACAGAGAGAGATAAAATTCTGGGGGTAAATCATTTTGAAAGGAGAATTTAAAACTAGCAAGGAATGCTGAATTAAAAGAAGCAGGTAACAAACTTTTTGAGTTTGAGTGAATGGGTTGGAGAACGATGACAAAGATGTTCAATGAAGAACAAAAATTACTAACAGTAACAAAAAAGGAAGTTTGGAGAACCATGATCGTTCATGTGCTGAATAAACAAGGCAAAGAAGAAAAGGAAGAAGAAGAATAGACAAATCTATATAATTATATTTACATGAAAATTAAGAGTTTAAAACATATTGTGCATTCCAGGTGGGCAATCCTAACACCCACACTAGACAGGGATATTTAACACAAGTATCTAGCATGTCAGTAGGCCACTTTTGAAGATATCCCCTTACAAGTATAATGAAAAAAAAAACTAATTAAACTCTGACTGCCGTAGAGATTCACTAAGCTATCAAAATATACAGCGCTTATTCCTTTTTCGGCTTCTAAGTTTGTCGCTTTTAAATATACATCATTGTCATCCGCCATTGGCTTCTGTCACTGCGGGGCTGCATGGAAACAGTCGTTTTCACACGACGCGAAACGGCGACGATCATTGACACTTACGTAAGCGAGCTATCAAATGGTGTCATTTATTTACACTGTTTGTTTGTCAATGGACGCATGTCACAACTATGTAAGCGCTGTGCATTGAGGTGGGGGCGGAACTAAATCCAGATGGGATGCTCAAGGAGGTGCAGAGAGGCTCTTGAGTGCCCGAGTTCACTTAAGGTGAAAACACATGAAAGAAACACTTGTGTCCAACAGAGATACTTGATTGATGACACCTGTGATGGCTGACCGGTCGTAGATATTTTCATCTAGAAAAACACATGCATGATCGTGCATGTGTTTGCTTCTTTGTATGTACATTATGTCATATATATATATATATATATATATATATATATATATATATATATATATATATATATATATATGTTTGTGTGTGTGTGGGCGTGTGGAGGGATGTTTGTGTGGGTGGCAATATCAGGACAGATTTTATTGTATAATTCAGTGTCTTCACCAACCGATTCTGACAAAGTTTTCAGCACATTTTTACAGTAATGGTCACCCTGTACAAGGCTCAAGAAGCACTCAAGGTAGAGGAATGGAATAAGAAAAAAGAGGCACAGTTTATGAGGATATGTGGGAAAGATAACGTTTAACCCTACACTTGAACAGATTAAGATTGTAGTGATCGGGGAAGCATCCTCATGAAAGTCGTCTTCACAAAGTGAGAACAAGCGTTTAGAGTGAAACTTATATATCACCAATGAAATGCGAAGGAAATGGGTGTGGTTTGTTCTGAGCTCTAGTGGTTAGAAATGGTGAAAGTAAATAATGTAATTCCTCTGAAGATTTTCTATGGAAAAAGCGATAGGGAAAATAATTCATCACCCACAAGAACGTGGAGTTGGTTTTGAACTCCTTGAATAGAACATAATAAGAGATAGGTAGACAGACAGACAGACAGACAGACAGACAGACAGAAATAATTCAAAGAACACAGTAATTAACTTATACATTTCCCAGAAAGAAATTCCCTGCTATAATGTTTAGTTTATCTTGAGTAATAAACCCTCCTAAATATGTGTTTCTGTCTATAGACCTATCTATCTAATCGCCTTTTCTTTCTTTCTTTCTTTCTTTCTTTCTTTCTTTCTTTCAGTCATTACCCTATAATATCTATCTATCTATCTATCTATCTCATCTCATCTCTCTCTCTCTCTCTCTCTCTATATATATATATATATATATATATATATATATATATATATATATATATATCAGACCTGAAACCAGATTATTTCGCAGGTTGCAGTTTCACTCTTGTGGCTTAATGCAAGGAAAACAATTATTTGGACGGATCGTTACCCAACATATATTCTTTCAATTGTGGCACTTCGATGTAGTGCACTTTGACGTAGTGTATTGATCAGCAAGCTTGTCTCGCCATATCAATTACTTTTGAGGAGTGAGTTTGATTCTCTCCAGGTGGGCCATCTTTTCGGCTTTGTGCTACATCTAAGTTATACTTAGTAAATCACCACCAACATACATATAGTAAGCCAACAGTAGGAATTATTGTTGGAAACCTAAAAAAGTGACAATGTCATAGATAAGTTCTCGGACTTTTGAAAAGGAGTAAAGATTTATCCCTTGTCTCCTGTTTAAGATTGGGTTTCTAGTTCCTTCTAAAGTTTTTGCATTCGCTTTCACACCCAGTAGGTCCTTGCGTCTTAGTGACGTTGTCGCCTTGCTTGGGGTGAACTCGTTAAACTGTATTTTTCATTTTATTTTTTTCTTTAAAAAAAAGGTGTATATCTGTTCGATTGGAATTATGTCAGAAATCTTTAGTTAGAAACGAGAGATGACTGAAAATTAAATTACAAATATTTACGAATGCAACATAAAAATAAAATTTTATGCGTATGTGACCAGCGCTAATATGCTCCGTTTACCTATAGTCACCAAGTTTGATGCACATGTCCTATTGGTGCACGAATGAATTTCTTAAAGAATCTTGGTTCAAGCAATTGGAGCCACTCTTGCAACTCCACAACAATAGCATCAACTTTGTGCATCAGCTTCCTGATTTGAAAGACTTGAACACATGGTAAACTGAAGGAGCAAAGACTGGACATGTGGATGCGATAAAATATCGTAACTATATCGCTGGAAGTGATCCTATACTGTCACCATGATATAGCGGGTCTTTCATTTGCTTGCTCCTGGCAGTTGGGTTTATTTGTCTTTACGTAATATGTAGCTTCCTGCTGTATTAAGTTACAGCAACCGCCGTCTGTCAAACTCTCTGCATTAGCAGAAAGGAACCCGGGCGAAGCCTTGCCGAAGGGAAAGGTTTCGTTCGGGGAAGTTATGACAGCTCTCGAACTCGCCTCGGCGAGTCGAAGGCTATATTTTTGGCCTGGCCTACGGGCTCGGGTGACCACGTAAAACTCGGCCTTGTGCCATATGCGACCCCACGTGGGGGGACAGCTAAATATTGTAGCTTCCTGCTGTTTTATTAGCAAATGTTGGTTCATGCCTTTGCTCGAGCAATTCTACACCGTCTCTCTCATACTGTCTCTTTCAATCTCTTTCTTTCTCTTTCTCTGTTCCAGCTGTGTTCGTTATGCCTAAATACCCCTTCGAATGGTATGAATCCATCTACTCCCCCCATATATGAGTTAAATAGTAGGATTTGTATGTGGAAAATCATTGTTATTCTAAAAAAAATAAAAGTTAATGAAATAGTCACTCATTCTTACAAGATATCTTACGTCTTTAAATAGACCCTAAAGGGTTGATAAGCCGTAAAAACAAATCAGTCAATATCCCTCTGTCCTTTCTTTTTCTCTCGCTTTATCTTTATGTGACTCTGTCTCTCTGTCTCTTTGTCTCTCATCTTGTATCGATCCGTCTCTCTATCTCTGTCTCTCCGTCTGTATATCTTTGTCTGACATTTTGTCCCTGTCTGACCCGATACTCTGTCTCTGCCACGGTCTTACTGTTTCTTTTTCTGTCTGTTTGTCTGTCTGTCTCTCTGTTTTTCACTATGTCAATATCTTTGTCCCATGTTTTTGTTATTCTATCGCTCTCTCTTAGACTTTCTGTCTGTTATTCTCTCTTTTTCGCTGTTTATCTGTCTTTAATTCCGTTTCTCTCCCTTTGTCTGTCTTCCTCTGTCTCTCTCTCATTGTTTCTTTCTACCTGTCTCTCTTTCTCTCGTTTCGAAAGATTTAAACATTTGTGCTTGCGAATAGCAGGTGGTAGTATCTTTGACATAACTGAAATCCAGTTCTCGCGAGAATATCTTGTTGGGTGAATAGAAACCTTCATTTCTTAAAATAACTGCCAGCCTTGAGAGATGGGACCCCGAAAGAATTCGTTTACAATTATTATAGGGCGGTGTCTTCGGAGAAATAAACGTAAACAAATGAACAGGAGAAAAACTGACTTTTATGGTTTATTAATGAAAGAAACAAATTCTTCTTCATTCATGCAGATATTTGAAAATCTTAAATTCGATTCCAAGCCAACTAGAAAAACTCATAAAAATGGTTGCAGATATCACAGGATACTTTCAAGCATATTTTAGCCTAAAGTTATAGAGTGAAAGATTAACGGCAAGAACTATGGATTACTAATCGCAAGGAATAAATTCTTCATGTTCGTCAAACTTAATTATGTTTAGACATATGGGTAGCTCTACGGAAATAGATTTGTTCATAAGTTATTTTGTTTAACAAATCTATCTATCTAAAAGCAACTCAAATACATGTACCTACTAAAAATAACGCTTGCGTTTGCGTGTGCATACATGTTTATGTATGTTTGTGCGTGCATGCGTGAACATATACATGAAGTAAGGCAAATTTATAAGAGATATTAGGCAGGGCTAGGTTTCCCGGAAGGAAGTTACCTGTACTAAAATTCGGCAATCAAATAGTTATTTGCTAGTTCGTAGGATAGTTTTGACACAAGTTCACAAAAATGGGGAATGCAATGAGAATCGAACCCACTATTCAGTCGCAAAGATCTACAAAGCCATTTTTAAGCACTGAAACATTACAAGGCATATAACTCGACATTTAAATTTTCTTTTCCATGTTTCAGATGTTACACTTGAGACACTGTCTAAATCTATCTATCTATCTATCCCATTCTGTTTTATATCTATCTATCTATCTATCTATCTATCTATCTATCTATCTATCTATCTATCTATCTATCCCATTCTGTTTTATGTCTGTCTGTCTGTCTATCTATCTTCAAATGTAACGAGAACGAAACGAATATAAATTCAAACGTTCATAGCATTAATTTAAAAGAGAGCTCAATATCAAGAGTAGCGCAGTAGTTATTTATTATAAAGATGTTACACACGGACAAACAAGTACTCACGACAAAGATGCATTATTGTTTCGATGTGAATGCATTTCGACAGGTGAGGGAAAAACATGGTTATAAACGATTCTATTCAAAAATGCTACTTATGAAAATCACTTTATTTTTTTCCTTTATTAAAAAAATTAATTATTGAAAAATTTGAATGTTTTTCCCTTTATATATATATATATATATATATATATATATATATATATAGGAGAAAAAAACAGACGGATAGAAGATGTGTGAACGCGCGTGTATACGTATATATGTGTGTGCGAGAAAACATCATTCCTCGAACAAAACAGACAAACAGTTGACACTGCGACACACGTAGAAGTTCGCTACACAATCCAACATTGAATACAGCGACCAATTGCTTACGTATGTACGCACTGACACATGGATGTGCATATACGCCCAGTCCCAGACTGTTCATATATGTTTATGTTTGTGTGAACGTGCGTGTATGTATGTCCGCGTACGTATGAGTGGCGTTCCGAAGGCAATTTTTCCTCCCACCAAAAACACCGATATACGCAATTTCTAAATCCAAAATTTAAAAATTAATCAGTGTGTCTGACGATCGCAAATAGCGTGAAACCCAGTGTCACTAACTCACATCTATCTATCTATCTATCTATCTATCTATCTATCTATCTATCTATCTATGTGTGTGTGTGTGTGTATGAAATGAGAACGTATAGAATTCAATTTAGACGTTCATATCATCCAATTTAAAAGAAGGCTCAATGCAAAAGTAGAGCAATATTATTTAATTTAGGATATTACATCAAAAACGCTACACAAATGCAATCAAGTTTCGATGCATATTAGCACATCTCATCAGGCGTTAGTAAATAACTGGTGAGTAGAAAAAGAGGAAAAGAGCGTGTGTCTTGTGTATTACGCTTTTTCTTTTCTTCCTCTTCTCATGAAAAGATGTTGTATGTCGTTTTAAATCTCAATAAATTGTCTGCTCATCAATTATTTACTAACCCCTGATGAGAAGTGTTAATACGCATTGAAACATGATTGCATTTGTGTAGCATGTTTTTTTGCATGTTTTTGATGTTACATCCGAAAATAAAGTATATATATATATATATATATATATATATATATATATATATATTAATTGATTTAAAATATGTTTTTTCGTTAAACAGTTCTAACCATGTTTCAAAAATGGAAGCTAAAAGCTACGAATTTAATTTTGTAATTAAATTAAAGACATTAGTTCCATTTCATCCTCAAGCGAATTTTGGAGTTAAAATTACTGGGTTTTAAAGACACAGCAAAAATCATAATTTCCGTTTCCAAGGAGAAAGAAATCCAATTCAATCAGACAAGAAGTGTCTGCGTGTTCATTATCGCTGAATTCAGTCACTTTCCCACCAATGTAACGTAGCTGTGCTTTTTTTCTATAAATACTTCAATGACAATTGTTCTGATGAACTTTCCTCTGTAACTTTATGAATTTAAGTGCATCTCATCATTTTACAGTTGAAATGGCTAGATGAAACCGTAAGTTCTATGCTAATAGTTTCTTCTATCGCAATCTTACTCATAGAACTCTCTTTTTTTCCACCCAACTTTTATCTTCAAAAATGTAAATGCAATATCAATCTTTATCTTCTGTTTTCTTAATTCCTCTTCTTTTAATATTCTCTCATTTTAATAGTGTTTTTTTTTTCTCTTACATTCTTTCACACCCAGTAACCTCCTTTCTAAGTCTTAGTGCCTTTATTGTTTTGCTTGGTGTGAAATGATTTCTAAAACAATATCATGTTCTCTTTTTGCATAGTAGTAATGTTATGGAAAATAAACTCAATGGATTTCATGTAGCGCTCAGTTTAAGATAAGGCACATCTTATAGAAATACTCTAGCTAATAATAATACTTTACACACATCAAGACTTCTCCTTTATTTCTTGTTTTTCACTTTTCTTCTCGTTTTTCTTCACTTTTAAGACATATAAATTCAAGTATATACTCAATTTAGTCTGGTTTGGTTTTATACGCGTTCACTGCTGCACGCATGCGCTCATCGCAAATCGCCCGGTTGTTCAGTCATCCAAACAGTTACTTCCTTATGCTGCTTCCGAAATGTAAGTGAATGTAAAGACAGTTTTCGCAATTAATAATAAATAATTTACATTTTCCGTTTCCGTTGTAAGCAGAGAAGCACGATTCTTTCTTTTGCTTCGATTTTCTTTCTCGTGGGAAGATTTGGGTTCTTCCATTAGTGTTAGAGCCTTGGGCAGGCGTTGATGGTGGCGAGTTGCAATCGGAGAAAATGAAGAGATAAAAAAAAAGAAAAAAAAGTGAGATGAAAATTTGGAAAGAGGCGAAAAACACAAAGAGGAGGGCAGGTGAGAACGAGGAAATAATAGATAGGAAAAAGAAGGGACGATATGCAGAGATTATGAAGAGAAGGTCAAGCGATAGAGGCAAAGAAAAAGTAAGAAGAAGTAATTAGTGAAAGTGAGTGAAAAGATGAGAAAATAAAGAAAGATGAGTGAAGGAAAAAAAGAAGACGATGAGGACAATAAAAACGCACAGGAGGGGGAGATAAAAGGGTGGACTGGAAGTAGAAGAGAAGATGCAAAGCAAAAACAGCATTAATGATGTGGGAAGAGAAAGAGGCGTAGAAGGTTAAAAATAAGTGGGGGTGAAGCAAAATGATGGCATATAGTGAGGAAGAGGAAAAAGGAGATTTTAGGAGTAAAGAATGACGTTAAAACGGCAAGAAGAAGAAGGAGGAGGAGGAGGATAAGAAGAAGAAGAAGGGGGAGGAGGTGGAGGATAAGAAGAAGAAGAAGAAGAAGAAGAAGAAGAAGAAGAAGAAGAAGAAGAAGAAATGGAGGGTTAAAAAGAAGACATAATGGATGAAGAGAAATATAAAAGGTGAACGATAAAAAAGTGGGCGGAAGATTAGACGGCGAGGGAAGAAGCAGGAAGATTTGAAAAAGAAGAAAGCGAGAAGACAAGAAGGACGCGGGGGAAAAGGCAGAAACTGAAGGCTGACAAGGAGGAAATAGAAGAAAACCAGTAAAAATGCAGAAGGTCATGAATGAGGAAGAGGTAGAAAACGAGAAGGCCAAGTAGAAGAAAGAGGGAGAAACGAGAAGACCAAGAAGAAGGCGGAGGAGGGAGAAAGCGATAGGGCCAAAAGGAGGAGGAGGAGGAGAAAGGAGGAAATAAGAAGGCCAAGAAATAGGAGGGAGAAAACAAGGAGGATAAAAATGATGAAGGGGAGGAGGAAGAAATCAAGAAGGCCAAAAGAATGAGGAGACGGAGCATAATGGAGGGAATGTGAAGGCCAAGAACAGTGTGAAGGAGGAAACGAGAGGCTAGAAACATGAAGGAAGAGGGGTAAATAGAAAAATATATGACCAAGAAGAAGGAGGAGGAGGAGGGAGAAAACGAGGAGGACAAGAAAAAGGGGGAAGAGAGAGGAAAAGAGAAGGCCAAAAGGAGAAAGAAGAGGTGGAGAGATAACGAGCGGGTTGAGAATGAAGAGAAAGCAGTAGAATGAGAAACAGAGTTTACTAAGAAGAAACAGATGGAGGAGGAGGGAGAAACTGAGAAGGTCGAGGAGGAGGGAAAGAAACGAGAAGACCAAGAAGAAGATGATGATGATGATGATGATGATGATGAAAAAGGAAAGGCGCAAAGAAGATGAAAAGGGCGATATAAAAAAGACAAGCTGGATACACTATAAAGTGATTTTCTAAGCATAGCTCAGATGTGGCGCAAGGCCGAAAGTAGGGAGTACCTTGTGAGGATTGAACTCACTACTCAGTCGTAATTGTTGCTAGCAAAACCGTCTCGAGATGCCCAAGGTGGATACACTATAAAAGAACACGTGTAAATAGAAAGAAATGGTAGAAGACAAGGGGAAAAAAGGAAGAAAGTTAATAATTAAGACAATGGTTGGAGTATAAAAGTAGGTTTATCAATATTGATAGACGCAGATGAAAAAGAAGTGGGATGTAGATAGATAGATAGATAGATAGATAGATAGATAGATAGATAGATAGATGTTTATACGTATGTAGGAGGTATATTTAGGTAGTAAGAATTCATCCAAAGAAAGTTCTGTTTATTTCAACCGACAAGGTCTGTCTACATTTTGAATTTTTGGGGAGCGCTGGGATTTCAGTTAGTCCAGAGTGGCGTCATGAGTATCGCTTAAATAGAGCTAGCCCTCAACGGAATAGCATATATCAATTATTTATGAGTATTATTATTATTATATTGATTTAACCATAAATAAATGACGTCATTTTGGACGAAATCAAATTTCCTAAAATGTCAGGATGTAGCCAACAAAATTTTGTCATCAACACTGACAACATTCAGTTTTTGATAATCATTGAGACGGTTGAAAGTACGTCTGGTTTTTATCAGTACACTCCAACCAAGGCAATAATGTCACTAAGACGCAAGGGACGACTGGGAATGAAAGAAAAGGTGAAGAACTAAGAAACCAGAAATCCAATCATAAACTGGAAACACGGGATAAATCTCTGCTCCTGTTCAAAAAACGGGAAAGTGTATATATATATATATATATATATATATATATATATATATATATATATATATATATATATATATATATATATATATATATATATATATATATATATATATATATATATATATCTGTGTGTGTGTGAAAAGATAACATAGAATAAAAACAATTATAGTACTTTGATATACGATATATATTGATATACGAAAATGATATAATTCAACATATATCAAGGCCAACCAATTTCTGCCAATAAAGTACCCACGATTTAATTAAGTAATAATTGTTGTATCAAAAGTAATTTAAATTCACAATAACTATAAGAGGTGTGAACAGGAATTACATCTGATATGTATATATATATATATATATATATATATATATATATAGAGAGAGAGAGAGAGAGAGAGAGAAAGAAAGATACTTCATATACAGTATGAAAAATGGTTCTTGCATTTTAACCTTAATGTTCAATATTTTCATGAATATTCAACTAAACAAATAACATTGAATAATTTTGATTTCTATGTCACCAATAAACGATTGGAATTTATGACGTAGAATTATTGTTAGAGGAACTCCTTGCCAAGGATTGAGGTACTCATCGACATTTCCTTCTGTGTGAAAGGAGTCATGTTGAATCTGAAGAGACATTTGTAGCCACCACATGATAAGGCAGGAGGATCCAGGGTATGCAAAACACTGGCTTTTCTTTAGGCTCTTTTCATCTCTTCTATTTGTCTTCCGGTGTTTTTGAAGGATGTTCTTTTTTCCTGGACTGTGCGTCTCCAATTGGTTCTTTCTGTGGCTTCCGTCTCCCAAATGACCGGATCGATTTCTATCCTCAGCAAGGTGCTTTTGAGCCGATCCATGAATCGACGACATGGCGTTCCCCGTGATCTCTTGCCAGATGCGAGCTTCGAGAAGAGGATTTGTTTGGTTAGACGGATGTCTAGCCTTCGGGTAATGTGTCCGTCCGATCGAAATCGGTGGCGAGTTAGGATGATTTCTAGGCTCTGCGCAAAGAACTTCGGTGTTTGTTATCTAATCCTGAAAAGTGTTCCACTGTATTTGAGTTTTCATTTGATCGAATCTTTCAAGTTTACGGATGTTTCTTCGGTAGAGTATCCAGTTCTCACAGGCGTACAGGAGTGACGAGATTACAAGAAGTCGTAGGCCATGAGCTTGGTGGTATGTGTTAGCCCAGGATTCTCGCAACGTCAGGAATCTTGAGATGCCAACATCTGCCCATGACAGATTAGAGGATATCGCTTCTGGAGACCATCTACAAAGCTGTCAAAGAAACCATCGGACACACATATAGACGCCAGCAAGACACGTTCGACCACAACCATCCTGAGATAACCCAATAAATTGATGCGAAACAGAAAGCCAAAACTGAATATGAATCCCATCCATCATCTCAACGACTGAAAACCAAATTCCACCATCTCAAAGCTCACTGCCAAAAGGGGGCATCCATAAGGACCAGTGGAGAAGCAAGGCGGAAGAACTACAACAATATGCCGACAGCCGAAATATGAGAGAATTCTTGTCAGGGCTTGAGGAGTTTTTTGGTCCCGTCGCATTCAGAAAGCGGCCGACATTACTGAACTCATCGAGCATCAAGACATTCTAGCGAGATGGCAATAAAACTTGTCTAACCTTCTCCATCGTGACTCTACTGCTGCGTCAGACTTCCTCAAACGTGTTTCACATCCCCCGGTGTAACAATCGATGTCTGCAGAAGCTGCGTAGAAAAAAAGTTACGCAAAAATATTTATTTGTTGTGACTAATTCATTTTGGGTTAATTTTCCTGTATTTTTCTTAATAACATTTTAACTCTGACGGCGAGAGATTTCACATGTTTTTTTAACCAAGGCGAAATATGATTAAGACAAATCTTTTGACAGCTTTCGAGTCTGTGGGTCGTCTATTTCAATTGTACCGCCCATTTGGAATTTGAAAACAAATAGAAAAATTTAATTCATACTGATTAAAAACCACGGGTAGAAAGTTGATTAAAACTACGTCGGCTTTTTGCTTTTTTACCGCTTTTCATCTTGAGGACCCCAATCGAGGTGAAAATAAATATAATATACTCAGTTTCAAGGAGTCAAACCTCCAGGCAGAATTTCTGCCATATAACTTAAATGGGGAGGATTAGGTTCAATTCCTGTTGCTTGAAGCGTCTCAAACGGGACGTGCCGAGAGAGAATGAACAAGTTCGGTTACTAATTCTATATATGCGTGCGGTTCACACTTTAAACCCTGCCCTACACCATATTGAGTTCGAGTGGGTGGGAGCATAAATAACCACTTTGATTTGACTGTAAAACAAGTGATGTTTCGTAACGCCATCTTTCTCTATGTAAAAGCTTTTTCGCACCTTCATACATATATATCGAGTTCAACAATTTTTGTTTTTACAAAAAGAATGATTCTCTAGAAAGAACGTACATAGTCCTGTGAATTTGTAACAATGAACTTTAAATATGTAACTATACTTTGAAGAAATCGGTTATTCTTCTTCTAAAGAACATTGTATTGATATATTCATCATTTCAATTTTGTTTTTTAAATATAACTGCTACTTCAAAGAGAAATTTTACTTGCTTGTATAAAAAAGTGGTTGATTGTATAATTCCCACTACTTTCCTCAAGTGTTACTCTCTTGCATTTTACTTTTGCTTACTTATAAATACGACATCCATGAAGTTTATTAAATGTTACTCTTGAATTTTAAAACCGTATTGTTTGTTTAAATACTTCTAAAGATGAGATTATAATAATAATTTGAAGCTTTACATTTAATATTTTCTTGATTCTTAGCAATTACATTCAGATATTAACCTACCTATAACCCTAACTTAACTAATTATTTTCAATAATTTAACACCAAACAAGAGAATAAAGCCCCTAAGATACAAGGGGTTACTGAGTGTGAAAAAATATGAGAAAAAGAAAAACATTATTAAGGAAAGGTAACAATAAAAGAATAGTAACTAAAAACACAAAAGATAACGATAGACATTGTATTTAAATTTTTAAAGGTCAGAGTTGAGAGGAAAGCAAAAACTGGAAGAGGATTTCACAAAGGAGAAATGCGTGAAATGTTAAAATAGAACTTACGGTTATATCTAGACATTTCAACTCTATATTCCTGAGATTTTGCCGCCAATCTGCTTAAATTCATAAAGTCTAGGTACCACGGAGGAATCTTCATCAGAACAATTACCATGAAAGTATTTATAGGAAAGGCACAGGGATATGACGTCACCATCTTTGTTGTTTCTATCCAACGTTCCGGCCGTTGTATCCTCCAGACTCCAATCCGGGTAACCTACATGAAATTCCGGGTATAAATTAATATTTCTAAGAATGAAACAAAAAGATTGGCTACATGGAGTTCAGAGAATAAGCTTGCTTTGAACACCTTACAGACAAAATATCCTGTCGATAAACTTTTAATGAAATGCAACGTCACCTCCACAGGAATGCAGAATGGATGTATAAAATGAAGTTTCTGTTTATGTGCATAGCAGATCTTTCTTGGACTAACAATACCATCACGATAGTTAAGAAGGTGCAGCGTCAACTCGATTTATTGAGAATTCTTAGAAAAAAATAATTAAAAACAGAGATGCTGATGAATTTCTACTGATGCTTTACTGAGTGTTCAGGCGTACTGCATTTCGGTTTGGTAGGCCTTCTGCTTGAACAGTGAACAGCCGCTTGATTGAATCGTTATCATCAGGTCGACAAGTTAATTCTATTATTTCTAGAACAAAGCGCTTGAGGTACAGCTTTTATTCTTGGACCCTGCGTAAAATGAATGCTGCAGTTTGCTGACAATTTTCAACGGATTTTAAACATTACTTTTCATTATACTCAAGGAAATTTGGCACCTCTTAAATAGGAAATTGCGTACTTGGTATGTTGACCTCACAGCAGCATATGATCACATCATTACAGACCTCCTCTTCTCATCTATTAAAAAGTGTCGTCCAAGTTCCGAATCCACTGAATCTATTGATCTAATAAAGGAAATCGGTTCACAAAATCTGGCGAGGACTACAATACGGAAACATGTCAGACATTACCAGGAGTGCGACAAGGAGGAAATGACAGTCCCGTTCAACGTAATCTTTTCCTAGAACATGCCCCGTGTATTTCGAAATATACATGTGAAGAAATGAGCACTGGTCATTTTGGGGCACATAGTGAGGAAGAAGGGCTTGGAAAATCTGTTACTCACGGGACAGATTGAAGGCAAGACGTACAGGAGAAAACAACGCATAACGTACTTGACGCGCTTGAGAAAATAGATGGTGGAACAGGGTTTAGAAATAAAGAATTTATTTAGAGCTTCAAGAGGCAGGAAATTATAAGAGAGCCATGACCACCTACTTCCTGAGGGGAAACAGCACCTTAAGAAGAAATAGATACCCAAAAAAACAATAACAATATTTAAAGACATTTTTATGTTTAACATTTTTTTTTTATAGATACAAGTATTTTAGTAAATGCTCTGCTTATAATAAACAGTATTAAATAACATTTACCGGCCTGAATGTCCGAGAAATTTCCATAGAAAATATTCGTCCTTTGACAGGATTCGAACCTGCATCCTATACGGAACCGTAATTTAAATAATTAAATAATTTAAATAATTGTCGGACTTTGTCCATTTCATAATGTATAATATATGATATATAGATGATAAAGTGCTGATAGCAGACACAGGAAGTAAACTACAAAACCTCCTGTAGAAGGTATCGAAGGAAAGCGAGAAGAAAAGACTAAGTATAAACTACAAGAAGACAGAATGCATGCTTATCAGAAGAAAAAAAAAGGATGAGCCCAAAATTCAAACTATAAGTCGGGGTTACTCAAATCAAGCAGATACAGAAATACAAATATATGGGAAATGTTTAAAAGCGGCCGGAAAATGCGACACTGAGATCCGAAGGCGTATTGTGATGGCCAAAGGTGCAGTCCAAAAGCTAAGCAGAGTATTAAGAGACAGAAAAAGTTCGTTGGTAACAAAGAAAAGTGTACTGAACTTTTATATATGATATATGATACCTGTCCTCGTGTATGGCGGCGAATGCTGGAGAATTTCCTAAAAGATAAGAAAGAGACTTGAAGTAACACATATGTGGTTCTCCAGAAAGATGCTGAGGATATCATGGACCGAATATGTGAGCAACAACGAGTTTTTGGAGAGAATGGAAACAAAAAGGAAACTTATATTTAATACCAGGAAGAGGCAGTTGAAATTTTTGGGAGACTGAATGAGAAAGGAAGGCTTGGAAAATCTGATACCCACGGACAGATAGAGGGGGAAAGAGGGAAAGAGGAAAGCCACGCCTAACATACTTGATGGTCATGAGCAAATGAATGGCAGAACAGGATCTGGGAGAAATAACAAAAAGGCAAAATTTATTAAGAACTGCAAGAGACAGGAAGATATGGAGGGCCACGATCGCCTATACTCTGAAAAGACACGGCACATAAAAGAAAGTAGTGCAAAACTTTTATAAATTAAAAAAAGCAACTTATTATTAGCTCATTAAACCACGTAATGAAGTTAATTTGTTAATTGTATTTTTTTTTATTAAATACAGTGTCTTCGGTATGAATCGGTTCTGTTTACGCGTTTCCCGCCTTTTTTTTTTTTTTTAATTTTCCTCACTACCCACCCTGCACTGTTTTATCGTTTAGATTAAAACGTGTTACCTTATTTATTTATTTTATTTATATTTTGTTTGGTAAAGTAGTTGAAAGCACATCGGCAAAAAAAAAAAAAAAAAAAAAAAGTGTGGGGAAGAATGTCAAGTAGTGGGGTCGGGGAGGGGATGGAAAATCAGGCGGTAGTCGATGAGGAAGAAATAAGAAGAATAATGGCCGAAATCCCCTTTATAATGTCACAGGTTATTTTAAGTTCACTCGATCTCTGCTGTCACTTCAAAAGAGAGACAATCTAAAAACTTTGTGGTAAAAAGGACAAAAAGTTTCAGGCTGAGAAATATGCAACCACACTTCAATATATATGAGTGACGGATGATCGCATACAAAAACTGAATATAGCGCACTAATAGCTGAACATAGAACATCAGGTAAACTCATTCTAATGCAATTCTTTACTAAAGCCAAGTAGCAAAAATAGACATAAAAAAATTACCTAAATGGAAGCCATATAAGGCGCACTTTTTTTCTTTTTCTTTTTTTTTTACTAAAAATATCTTTTAAAATTCTCCTGCGTCTAATATGTCATATGTAGGCTTAAAATTCGCAATAGTCGGTCGGAATTAGATACCTGGCAACTCCTATTAGCGTAGACTTTAGAGTAACTTTCATATTGACATTATTTAAAAGGCTATTATACAGATTGAAATTGTTATCATTGATAATATACATTATATTAATTTCATCATATTTAATATTACTACTTTGTTTCACTAAAATTATATACAATAAATTCAAATTATATATTTGTAAAATATATTTGTTTCATTAATGTTTTTCTTACGATAACTTCTGGTTGCATTGGTACATAAATACAATCAGAATTTTTATATCCTAATGATATGTCCCGGAAAGAACTATATTTGTTCGAAGT